AAATATAAAGGACAGCTGTGCACCATTCAGGAAGTACTGTGTATTGACCACCTTTGCACTGTAATGCAAAAAAACAGCCTCAGGTAAATGTATTCTTTTGTGAGCAAAGGCCTTTGCTGGTAAATCTGAAACTGTAGGCAGGGACAGTTTATCACCACAATCAAAATGTATCTATTGTAGTAGATGGTAAGCAGGACATTCAGACTAGAGTCTCTAGTCTGAATGTCCTCTCCATGCTGAGAGGTAGGCAGCTTTAGTCATAATAAAAAATGATCCCTCTTAAAAAAGGAGGCAATGAGCAGTGAGCCTGGAGATACTACAATACAAAGCCAAAATTCAAAAAGGCTAGCGCAAGCTCTGGCACTCTCCCCTGGTGTAAAAATGCTGATGGGAACCTAATCACATTTTTTTTAAATTTCATGTCTCAAGCCACAGCAGCCAAATCAGTTCTGAATTCCATCAAACGAGCAGAGCCCAGTCATTCAGGTCTGTGTGGTACTACCACTAACAAATATCCTACATCCCAGACTTGTCAGTCTGGGGCTTCAGATACACCCAAATCTATGGCAGGCATCCTATGTACAAGCCAGAAGCCTGGAGGCCTTGGAGTTCAGAGGCCCCCTAATATCAGTTGCCCCTAGCCAAAAGGCCAAAGTAGCAAGCTAGAGGGAAAACCCAAGAGCAATCCCCCAGTGCCATATAATGGATAGTAGAGATCCTTCCACTGGGAGGCTATAGTAGACTCTTGTAGGGGTGCCTGCCTTCAGTGCATTGGACAGGTCTCCCCCCTCAACTATACCAAGTTATTCAAGGTTGGGAAGAAGGACATCACCGCTTCCTGGTACAGTAAAACCCTCTGCACCAACACCATCATCATGGTGTCTTCCCTGCCAGGATGAAGTCATGGTGAGCCACATAAAATATATTTCAACTTCCTCTTCACTCTGTGATGACTAGGTATTAAAGGGCTTATTGCCACTGCCAAGAGCTCGTTTACCTATAGGCAGTAACAGGATGGACCTCAACCTCGGATCACCCAGTCTGCCAGGAACTTGATCTTATGTTTTTCTTTCCTGCCATGACTTTGATGACACTATATTACTAGGAGGCAATACCCTGAGGTGATCCTTCAGGTCTTGATATTTGTCTTCTTCTGTGGGGCTCTAACCTCCCCTTTACCCCCACCCTAGCCACTCCAGATGGAATTCAAAGTTCTCTGCAGCCGGATTTTGATGCTGCATGATGGTTTAATGCTCAGCCCTCAGCCAGTTGGATGACTGTAGTCTTAGTCTGGCACCCACCCCCTCCAGGGGATTGCCTTAGCGTGGGCTCAAATACTCCAAACGCAATAGTTTTCAGTCTGTCCTTGGAATCAGTCTATGTTCCCTTCACCTGGGGATCAATCTCTCATATCAAAAAGAACAAAGCCAGTCAATCCAATCGCTGCTCAGCTCAGACCTGCTCTGGTCTACTAGTGAGCACACACAGTCCCAGTAGGATCTCCCTCCCAAGCACAGCAAAGCCACATCAGGGAGGCTCTAACCTGAGAAAAGCAGTTTTCCTTGCTTGTCTCCCAGATCCTCAGCCATCACTGTGCTCCAGGACTTATCAGAATCCTTGTGTAGGCCAGCCTCCACCTGCCTCCTTCTTTTGGTCACTCCTGCAGCGTTTCTCTGGTAGGATCAGCAATAGCTTCTTGCAGGAACGCTCAGCCACTCCTCTCAGTGGCTTGCAGGGAATCGAACCTTCTGCCCTTCTCTGGGGCCAGAAATACCTCCTGGCAGCTCGCCTTCTCCAATCCAGAGTGAGAGGCTGCTCCGGAAGTGTTGTTGTGATCACTTCTCCTCCCCTCCAGTTTCCAGTTTCAGCCTCACCATCTGCACACACTGTAAATTCTGTTTACTTTCACTTTCCCTCTCTGCCGGCTGATCTTCTGCCCTTAGTCTCCCCTGCCTGGCACATACGGCACCCTGGGGGTTCTGTTTACTTCCTCTCACTCCTTTGCACATTCCTACAGCTGCTCTGCCCCTTTCTTTCCCTTTTCCAATTATTCCTATTTTTTACAAGTCTTAAATATTTGGCAAACATGACTGAACAAGGCCCCAAACAGATTACCCAGAATCCCTCTGTTGCCCCCTCTCTTAGCCTGTCGCATGATTAGTGTAGCTCCATCCTCCATGAGGTGGAGCCAAACCAGTTTGCCTTGCACCTCAATGGCATATACATTTTTGGAGAATCCCAGGAATCATCATAAGAACACCTTGTTCCAGTCATGAATGGGGGAGCTAATTAGCACATGGACTTTTTGTGGCGAGGGTTGGTATCTGGAGTATACACACACATAGTGAACAGTGCTGAGCTGTGAGGTCACCATGACTTGAAACTCTGCTGTCTCTGGTGGGGCCCAGCCCAATGAGGTATATGGTAAATCATAGGTCTTTTGGTTTTGGGCTAATGGATGTTGGTGGGTATACGCAATGTCCAACATGTACCTGTGGACTATGGAACTGCCATAGTTGTATGAGGTCCTGGAGCAGATACGAGTTACACTGCAAGGCCCTGGTGACCATGACAAAACCACTGCAAGATGCAGGAGGTAGTAAGGGCAAGGGACAGACTATTGCCCATGGACATACTACCTAGCAAATCTTCCACAAGGACCTGCAGAAGGAGCACGGGGACGTAAACTGGCAGGTAGATCACTGAGCACTCCCTGTGTGGTTAAGACACAAAGAGGGGCCCACTGAACTGCCCCAGGCAAACTCGTCAGTAGAAGGAGGAAACAATTGACCACCTCCTCTAGAACTACCCATACACTGGGGGAGGGTGGTAGATAGTAATCATACTTCCTCATTAGGAAGAACTTCTTCACAGTTCGAGTGGCCAAGGTCTGGAATGGGCTCCCAAGGGAGGTGGTGCTCTCCCCTACCCTGAGGGTCTTCAAGAGGAGGTTAGATAGGCATCTAGCTGGGGTCATCTAAACCCAGCGCTCTTTCCTGCCTATGCAGGGGGTCGGACTCGATGATCTATAGAGGTCCCTTCCGACCCTAACATCTATGAATCTATGAATCCTCGTGATAGTGACAGGGGTCAAGACCCTGACCAGAGAGGCGGTGCTGTTTGGCCACCTGACCAAGCAGCAAGGGACCCCAGCAGCCTGCTTCGACTTGTTCATCTTCTGCTTCAGGAATTCCCTATGGAAGACCAGGAATATGCTTATGCACAGATACACGAACCTCCCAGTTGAGGATTGCAACAGAATGGGAGTGAATGAGATGCAGTTGTATTACAGAAAGGCAGTAGAAGACAGTGGGGAGAAGACGGAGGACAAATGGAAGAGAAAAGACTGGCACAAACTGTTCAAAAACAAAACCACTGGAGAGAATGATGACAATAATGACAAGAACAACAAGTGAAAGGACTGGGGCAAGAAACAGAAGAGTTGGGAGGAAGGTGTGGGGTGTGGGAAGGGGAAGGGAAGGGGCAATGAGTGATTGTGATGGGAAAAGGAGATGGTGATGGGCATGCATTTGTGGTACTGTAACAGGGATGATGATGATAAACTGTGTGTGTGTTATGAACTGTTAAGTGAACTGGGTTGGTCATGAGACAACTGTAAAGGTATAGGTATGTGTGTGTTTTTGGAATACATGTGCTAAAAATACTTATAGCAGTTTCAGAAGAGATAAACCGCATCAATTCTGGATAAGTTAACATGATAGCAATAATGCCAGCTCTCATGAAAAAATCCTGAGACTCCTGATTTCCAAGTCAAATTAACTCTGACTCGATAGAGAGATCAAATCTCCAGATTTTTCCTTTTGGTGTGTATAGAGAGTGCCATCCTGGTAAGTCTGTGGAGGGGAAGGGGCAGGGGAAGAGGGAAGGGATGAGGGACGGGGGAGGTAGATCAAGGCCCCCACAGTGACAGAGGGAGTGGGGCAGGGACTGGAGTAAATGGGGCCCCGGGATCAGGGTGGGTCATGCAACAGAGCTGTGGGCGGCTGTCTGTGTGTGTGCCTGCCCCTCACTTCCAAGCCACAGCCCCCCCAGCCCTGCTGCTTCCCCTCACTCCTGACTCACAGTACCCTGAATCCTGCCAGGGTATGTGGGGACCCCCCACTCTCTAGGCTCCAACTCACCCCCACACACACCCACAGCCCCCCACATCTTCACAAATAATCACCCCCCACATACACACACTTCAAAAATAGCATTTCATGATTTACATTCCAAATCTCTTGATTTTTAAGAGTTTGTCTCATGATTTTACATGGTGAGGATGGCAATACTGCTATGGGTACCTGTACTCATTTCCCTATATGCAAGTTACTATGGATATGTTTATTTCTTGGTCAGTGTTTTCAAATTTGCTTCTTATTTTGTTTGCTCAAGGAGACCAGGTCTTATAGTTTGGGGGAGGGGAGAAAGACGGGCTGCAGGATGAAGAAGTTGTGGAGGGGGTGCTCTCTGATCCTCCAGATTTATTTTCCCTGCTGTAGCAGTGGGACGGGGACAAATTCAAGGCAAACCTCCAATAATTAGATTCTGTATTTGGAAAATGATAACAAATGGATAAGTTGTCCATATACAGAATCTAATTGGGGAGGGGGGGTCATCTTATAATCAGGGTAATCTTATATTTGAGTAAATATGGTATATATGCTACTCCACAAACATGTGCACACACCCCCCACACACCCCATTTTGGGACCAGCAAAACAACAGCATTTTGCCATTTGGTGAAGGGTTATGGTTGTTTCCTCTGCCCTACCAGCCAGTGCTTGTTCATACACTGTGCCTATATGACAGTCCATAGATCATGCAGATCATGCATGAAACTATTTTCCCAGGGTCTATAGGAGGAGGAGAGACTGGATGAACTAGTAAACCAAGCTGCAAAGCCACCACAGATTATTATTATCAGTATTATCATTAACAGCATATGCTGTGCACTTTATCAGGCAGTCAAAATGGTTGTTAATTTCTTATGTGATCCATGACTTAAATGGCACATGCTGCTCCCCTGCGGGGTTTTTTAGTGACTTTCTTCTCCTTTGGGAGGGTTGCCGGAGAATATAATGTGACCCTCAAAGTGGCACTGACTGGGATTAATGGTAGTTACCCTGGGGATGAGAAGAAGGGGCACTGGTTAAATTGATCCTTCCCTCCCTGCAGGCTTGGCAAGGAAATGGAGAATCAAATATTGGTCAGACGCCCACAGCTGCCTTATATGGATGTTGTACAGGCTCTGTTTGTTCCCTGAGGCTGTGCCAGAGACTCTATTTAAATGTCTAGAGTAATCTGGTCTTTCCAGGTTCCAGTGTTTCTTTCCATTTTTTCCTCCCTATTCCCAAGGACAGAGTCTAACCACCACCCATTTCCCCTCCTTTCTACCACCCTTCTAGCAAGTACTAAACACCCAGCACAATTTGTGTTTCCTCCCTCCCAATCTCGCACCATGGCCAGGGCTAACACCAGCTCCTTTCCAAACCCTCTATAGATTGGTTCAATGAGAACAGATCTGCACTGTCATTAAGTTTCCTACTCCCTGTTTACTCTTTTTCTCCCCCAAAAGGGACTGTGCAGGACAAAAACATGCATTCCTTCGGACGCCCCCCTTGGTATACTAAGCCTCCTCACGCCGCTTAAAGAAAACAGATGAAATCAAGCCAGCTTTCACAGCAAAAGCCAACACTAAAAGCCAGCGGAGAAACCAGGTGGACAATAGAGTATACAGAGAATTACCCTTTTCCTATCAGCACCAGTTCTCCTGGGACCCAAGCAGCCCGTCATTCCTGCGTGTCTTCTCTTCCTTTCCCAGTGCTCCTTGAAATTGCAAGGTTTCACCATCTTCTCTTCTTGCCTCCATTAGGGAAAATCCTGGCAGCTCTGCTTGTCGCTCACATCTCTCCTGCAGTTTCCTTTCTCCCCCTCCATGAGGGTGGGATTAAAGGCATCTAAGCTCAAGCATGTGACCACACAAACCAGAGATGCTCAGGGCCAGAGGAAACTGGCAGGCAGAGAGGAGGAGTGACAGACCAGGAATACAAGAGAACAAAAAAACCAACCCAGAACAAAGGTTACTATAACCCTGTGTGCTGAGCTGTTAGCATAGCTGAATCCCCTAGTTTGTGCTGTGATTCACAACTGTTTCACTAGGGACTAACAACTTGTTAGCCCCTTCACTGCTGGAGTGTGTGTCAATTCCCTGTTCTGGCAGTAATACCAGAGGCTATACCCAACCCCTTCGCTTTCTTCCTACCTTCGCTAGTTTACATGTAAGTTGACCCTTCGTCAGGTATGTTGAAAAGCTCATTCCTCCACCTTGCAGGGGTGTAGGTTGTAGCTGTGTTGGTCTAAGGACACAGGCAGACAAGGTTCCTTGGGTGAATCTGATATCTTTTATTAGACCAACCCAAATAGTTGGAAAATAGTTATTAAGCAAGCTTTCGGGTTCAAAAACCCTTTGTCAGGCTAAGGAAGTTTCAGCAGTTGTTATGTGCTCTTCCATCCAGCAGGCAAACCTGCTGCCTCATCTATAGTCTCTTTGCCCATTAGAGATCTGGAAATGAACGCTCAGGGCCTGAACCAATGCCAACTAACATAAATAGAGAGACAAGTCATCAGATCCTTCCCCACCTCCCGTTGTTCCTTATTTGTATTTAATCTTTCTCTTGTTCTTATGAGTTAGGTGAATAACTATTCAGATAACTAGACACAGATGTCATTTTAATCCTATGGCCATATTTCTTAATTCTGCAAATAATGTTCTATTTTGCCGTATTTCATGGCTTCTCTAATTCTCTCACTCTGACAACATGTCTGCAGAGTGTTTGAGTGCCTGCAAAACAAATGAGTCAGCTCAGATATTTGGGTACACGTTTCTTCATGATACTTTTCAGCCTCTGTTGCTAGGAGAATTCTGTCACTTTTAGTACCCCATCTTTAGTACATATTATATGCTTTGTACAATGTTGTTTCATGCAGTTATGGTTTTGTGACAACACAATATCAGAAAGCTCTAGCATGATATATTCAAATACAGTATTTTTTGTACTCACCTCCATTTACACTGTTCAAACAAATGAACATTAGGGACAGGGGTAATTATATTATGCAAACGTGAAATCTTCATTTATTAGGCTTTTAAAAAATGGGAAAGCCTGGAACATGGATATGTTGCTAATGCCAGTGAAGCAACTGTAAGCTTTCAGGGGGAAAATGCAGTCAAACAACTTTGATTGTGTTCTGCTTTCTTCATCTGTTCTCCCAGAGAAAGGTGAGGTTACCTGGAGCAATCCGCAAGGGTGCAGCAGCAGCCCAGGCCCAGGGCCAAAGCTATGCCCGTGCTGATTAAATGAAGTAGCTCTCTCTCTCTTTTTTTTTCCTATTAGACTCGGTGCCATCTTCATCAGAGCCAGAGACTAAAAGCCTTTGTTTACAGGGTGTCCTTACTTACAAAGTGTACAATGAGTGTGCAGACTCTGAATGCTCTGTTTGTTTCAAGATGACAGTGGTGAGAGGAAATATCAATGAACTCAAATAGCAATTAACTTGCACCGGAGGAGCTGTGGAGGATGCTCTGTGCGTGCAAAGTCTGCTGAACACATTCTGCAGAGGGAGCTGGATTACACCTTTAGTCACGGTCTGTAGGCTGGGGCATACATCTATTTAGGACTAAATGTTTTGTTGATTCCACTTTTCCTCTGTCCAGTGGTGCCCCAGACATCACCTCTTGGATGTCCTCTAGCATCCTCACAAAATCAGTTGGTTCAAAACTAAACTAATTTTTTTCTGATGGTACTTTTGTATGTAATTCTATTTAGCTCTGCTTAATTGCTTAACTGACTGCTGAAGTAGGAAGATCTTGGATAAATGATAATTATTACTTGCAGTGTCATTCTTTTTGAAGGCTGCACATATTGCCAGAAAAGCCTGCTTTACTGCCTTTCAGGCTTCAAGAGAATCTTTAGGGGCAGCTGTTCTCTTGGGAAATGCACACACTGGAAGGCAATAACATTATCTTAAACTACTGCATGATGTTGGAAGTTCTGTAAGTTCAGGAGCAATCTAAGAAACACACTTGCTGCCTTATGTCTTAGTCATTTAGCTCTATTTTTCCAAATACAGAAAGTCACCCAACAGTTGTCATAGTCTCACTCTGACTGGCAGTCAGCAAGTGAGATTTTCCAATATGAGCAGCACAGGTATAGATTTAGAAACAGTGGGGGAGTGGCACTCTACATCAAAGACTGAATCGAGTCAACTGATAGGAGAGATACCATAGAATCTTTGTTGACAGAAATTCCAGGTTTCAATAGAAAAAGGTACAACTAGGGATAGACTATTGATCCACAGATCAGGATGGCAGCAGCCAGCTAGACATGCTAAGGGACTTGATAGAGGCTGCAGCAGCAGAATACACAGTAATAATGGGGGACTTCAACTATCCACAGACTGGGTCAATCTAACATCAGGCTGGGGTGCAGGGACCACGTTTCTTGATGTTATAAAAGACTGTTTAATGGAGCAGTTAATCCTGGAACCTACAAGAGAAAAGATGAGTCTTGACCTAGTCCTAAATAGTGCATAGGATTTGATGCAAAGGGTGTTATTGAGCCACTTGGCAACTGTCACCACAGTGCAATTGGGGTTTGACATCAAGTTTGGAGGAAAGAGAAAAAAATCTACCACAGCAACCTTTAACTTTAAAAAGGGAGAGTACACCAAAACAAAGAAGCTAGGTAGACAGAAGTTAAAAGGAGCCCCTAAGGAAGTGAGTACCTTGCAAGCAGCCTAGAAACTGCTTAAGAACCATATTGGAGACACAGAGAAAATGCATACCACAAATTAAAGAAAAAAAAAATGGAACGCAGACCAAAAGAAAGCCAGTATGGCTTAATGGCAGAGTTGCAGAGGCAATAAGCAAAAAAATAAAAGGCTTCTTTCAAAAGTGGAAGTCAAATCCTAATGAGAAAAAGAGCATAAACACTGGCAAATCAAATGTAAAACTTTAATAAGACAACTAAGGGAAAATTTGAGAGTGGTTTCCAGGGCATTGGCTGTGTCCCTCTTCGCTTCATTACTTCAGTATCCACATAAAGTTCACAGTTCTCAGTATAGTTCAAATATCTTTTCAGGACTGCAATCAGTGTCAGGGGTATGAGAAAGGGAAATCAATTAAAGTGTCTGGCAAAACTCTGTCTGATTATGTGCATGTGTAGCATCTATGAAGAATCAATTCAATAAATGTATGCATATGTACATTTTATTCATATATGAAATCACCACGATTTTCTTCATATTGTTAGCACTTAGTCCCTTAGTGGGAGACTCCCTAGTGGAAATTGTGTTAACAAGAAGCTAAGTGTTGCTTCCATACTTGACAAGGCTGGTAAATGAATGATTCCGTCATATTAGCATCTTCACCCAGATAACTTCCAAATCAGGCACATAAAATAAATGAGCAAAGTATTCTGCATATCTCCATAATGCTTCAAGTGGTTTCATATTCTTTTATGTACGAAAGAATAAGGTATGTAAAACATTATGGCTTGAGTTTTGAGACCCTAAAACATTTTGTGTTGAATTTGATGAATACATCTCAGATTCTGAAGGTGGACCCAGATGATCAATATAAATAGGCTCTTTTATTTAAACAACAAAATTAGATACTTGGAATAAATTGCTTTCTGAGTACATCAATGCCCTTATGGAGCGCATTGCTTTCCTGCAGTGCTGTGCTTGTGCTAATGTCTGAGGTTACCTGAGAGATGCGCATATGAGCCACTTGGGGACAGACTCCATGAGAAATTGTGCCTTGTGTAGTCTCAGCTCAAGCAACTGCTAAGATCTTGCTTCATAGAGGCAAATGATTATTTAAGGAGATGTAGAGGCCAAGCACACAGTTTTGGGAGCAACTATTTAGAGTTGGGTATAGATTGTCATCTAAAAAATTTCCAATAATATATATTCCTAGGAAAATAAAATAGATTGTTGACTAGGCTGGCCAATGACACTCCCCCAGAATACAAGACATCCCCTTGCTGGGGGCGGGGCCACTGGCCGCCTCAGCCAATCAGTGATGAGGGGTGGGACTGCCACCTCAGCCAATCAGCAGGGAGGGCTGGGGCCACCACTGGGTCCCTTGGCCAATCAGTAGTGTGAGAAGTGGGGCCACCACAAAAGGACCAGGAAAATGGCACCAGCCTTGGCTTACTGCTGACTGTAATAATAAAATATTAATTGTCTTTTATTTTGCACTTTTAATGACATTGAATGACAGTAGCAATTTGGTCCATGAACCCCATGCTGATGAATGCATGGTGCTCTGTGAAAGCAGGGAGAGTAAGTGCTAGGATCAGCAGCAAGTTTGCAGTTCAGCCAGCAGGGAGACTTGCTTTGTGCCCCCTACAGCATGGTTTCACATATCCCACAGCTCTGCCATCCTCTCCAGACAGTCCAGCCTCTAGAGAGCATGGCATAACA